AAAATCTGCTGCTCAAAACGACTAAACAGGTCGTTACAGATATTTGATTGTCTTTTCACCTACCAAAATTTTTAATGGGACACATTGAATCATGATAGGTAAATTGATTTTAGTTTCAAAATTCAAAGAATCATAAAATTTGAAAAGTTCCATACATTATTGTTTTATGATAGATAAATTCATGTTAATTTCAAAATTCAAAAAATCACAAAATTCAAAGAGTTACATACATTATTGTTTTCTACTCTAATTTAATTTAACCTAATTAATGATAATTATAATGTCATAATCAAAAAAATTGAAGTGTCATTGTTGGACTTTATATTCTACCATTATGTAATTAAATATTAGTATTTTAAAAATTAATTAACTTAATTTGATTTAGTGGAGAGGTAAATAATAATTCAACTTTGAAGGTTGGAGCTTCCCACTTATAATAATATATAATATATGATATGATGATATGATTATATAAAATCCATACAAAAGAAAGCACACTTTTTATATAGCATTATATAACAAAATAAATAACGGAAAAGCGCCTAAAATACCCTTAAAGTATTGAAAATAGTACAAAATTACCCTCCATCCACCTATTGGCTCCAAAATGCCCTTTTCATCCACCTATTGGCTCCAAAATGCCCTTTTCATCCACCTATTGGCTCCAAAATACCCTTGTCATCCACCTTTGGGTTCAAAATTGACCACTTTTTTAATTGTTTTAAAATTTAACTCTTTAAATATTTTTTAAAATACTTGGCGTTCAACTATTGATTATAATTTTAATTTATTAATATAATTTATAAATCAATCCACTACCCACTCATTACTAACTAAACCTTACTCAATTAATGATTCAATTATAATATCAAAATTGTCATAAACACTACTAAAACACGACGAAATTATAGATTCCTCAAAATGACATACAAAATTATTCAAGTCCGAATCGAAACCCCAATTAAATTTAGGTTGAGCCGCTTATTTAGGAGGACACTTTCTTTCAAAATTGAATTAGAAATTTATGATTAAAGGTAAACAAGTAATACATCCCGAATTAATTCATGCACTTTTTTTAAAATATAATTTTTAAATATTTATGATTTGTTTTAAAACCTTTAATATATTTGAAAAAAAGTTATCTATGAAGTAACATCACATAATTGAAACGTAAGAACAATTAAGATGAACATAATCAGACTTTTAAGTTTATCGGTGATTTTTATTTAGCCACTTGAATGTATGATAATTTACTTCTATAATTTTTAAAAACAATCAATTGACAATAGCTTGCATTAATAATGTGACGGTTTATTAAGAGGAATTTAATTAGAAATGAGTGGGTAATGGATTGATACATAAATTATACTAATAAGTTAAATTATAACAAATATTTGAGCACCACGTATTTTAAAAAAATATTTAAATAGTTTAAATATAAAACAGTTAAATAAGTGGTCAATTTTGAACCAAAAGATGGATGACAAGGGTATTTTAGACCCAATAGGTGGGTGGAAAGGGTATTTTGGAGCCAATAGGTGGATGGAGCGTAATTTTGTACCATTTTCAATACTTTTAAGGATATTTTAGGCCCTTTTCCGAATAAATAAAAGATATGATTGAATACATGTAAAAAAATATTAGTAAAGATTTAAAGACTAAAATTTGAAGACATTATACTTCTCAAATTAATAAATACTATATGTAGTATTTAGATAACAAGAAATTAAAAATAAAAATATTTATATCTGTAATTCTTGGATATGTTGAGTATACATTCATTTTTTACAATACCAATGTTATTTAGTAAATTCATTGATGTGCATAATTTGTCTAAAATCTGTTCATGGAAGAGTGATGTAGTACTTTTATAGGCAAAATAAAATGATACTTTTAGTTTAGTTTATTGGCAATTTTGTTTTCGTTATTATCATTTTTTTTCGTTTTTCATTTTGTAATTTATGAATTTTTTGTTTGATACTTGTATTGAAGTTCGAATAATCCAAATTCAAGCATTGTAGAGTCCATTTGTATTTTTTTTATAAAAAAAAATATTGCAAGAAAAATACTTATACAGGTATAAAGATATAAGTTCATTTCACATATTTATGATTCATATGGATATAGATTCTATAGCAAATAATTAGAAAAGGGACTAGAGGTATAAACGTAATAAAAATCCTCATACACTATATATTTCATAATATATCTTTTAAATAAATCACATTTACTAATTCACTCAACTATATATTGTTTAAAGGTTATATTATTTTTCATAAAAAAGTGAGTATACTAAATTTAAATATATTTTCGCTAGCGCTGACAGATTCACTAGTATATTATATTATTTATGTAAAATGCCCTAAATTAAAAGTAAAAAAAAGCCACCTACCAACTCTCTTCTGCATATTTCATTTGTTGTTTTTCATTGGCACCATTCTCTTTTTTCTTGCAAGTAAATGTAAAATGGTAAAACGCAAAGCAATAACTTCCAGAAGACTAAAATATTTGAATAACATTAAACTTGTAGAATGTTACACTGCAGAATTTCCAAGTCTATACACCTACAAGTCTCTCCTGCTACACTCATACTTGGCCTTTATAAACTACCAAGGGATCAAACGAACAATTTTCTGGAAATAAGTAGCACAATGCTTCAATTGTGAACCCGTAACCTCCTACTAAATACGACACTACTTGTTGTGGTGCCAAACATCATCCCCTTCGTACAGTATAACTAAATAAACATCCAGGATATCACTTCCTCTGGGTCCTCATTCCGTCAACAAGAGGTTGACCATGAAGAAAGCAATGATGATTTGTAGTTGCTTGTGCAATTCCCAGAACAAGACATAAAGTTAAGGATACCTGCTTCGGTTGGCTCAGCAATATCCCTTGCTCGCTTCTCTAAAACTCTAATGAACTCATCTGAGCTTAAACTTCCATCATGATTTGTGTCAAAAACATGGAACACAAGTTCTATCATGTTGTCAGTGATAGAGACTCCACATGCCTGTTTAATACTTTGTCAGAAGGAACTTGAAAACTAAATGAGCACCTAAATATATAATGTAATGTTCCAGTTAAAACACGACACACACAAAAGTAGATCTAAAAAAGAGGATTAACATTACACTGGATATAACCATGCATCCTACAGCCAAGTAAAATCCTGAAACGACTACAAGATGACGAGGGAAAATATTATTCAAACAAGGAGTAGAAAATAAGGGCAGATCTACAGTGTTAGCCTGGGTTACCAAGAACCAGTAACTTTTATCTAGACCTGGTATTCATATTGTGAACGTATTAATTGTATAATATATGCTAGCAGGGAACCCAGCAACAATTCACGTTGTTGGGTTAGTAGAAAGGAAGGATCCTATTAGAGCTCATCCGGTCCAACGACCAGGGATTCATTTCTGTTTGCCTTTTATAATAAACTGCACTTTTGTTTTTCCCCAAAAAACACGCCGCCGCAGTTTTTTGTTTTTTTTTTTGATAATGGTAACTTTTCTATATATCCACAGTTATACTATAACCAAGGAATAGTATCCCTTCAGAAGTATTACAACTTACAACTTGTAATTCAGTTCTGTGCCTTACAAAAAGCTAAAAACATCACAAATATCTTCTGTTTGAGCTAGTAGTGTTTGCTCACACCAAAAATAATAAAGACCTACACAATTCATTTTAAGATTCTGAATGTTGTTTTGGGGCCCCTCAAAGCACCTTTTGTTCCTCTCAATCCAAATTGACCACCAAATACATGTTGGGACGACCTTCCATTTTTCTTCCTTCTTGCTCACATTACCATCCATATTCCAGCATCTTAGAACGTCTGCAATGCTTCCAGGTTTCACCCAACTAATCCCTTTCCAACTGACGAACATCCTCCAAAGCTGGTCTGTTCATTTGCGGTGCGAAAAAGATGGTTGATTGTCTCAGCTTGTTCCCCACATAAAAAACAGCCAGCGGTTAGTTGGTGACCCCTTTTGTCCAGGTTATCATGAGTTAACACTGCTTCTTTGGCCAGAAGCCAGATGAAACAGTTAACTTTGTAGGGAATTTTTGGTTTCCATATTATCTTCCAAGGCCAATCTCTTTCCTTCACCACTTCTACATTTAGCTCCCTGTATGCAGATTTGACAGAAAAAATTCCTTTACTGTTTCTGTTCCATTCTTGTCTGTCCACTTCGTCAGTCAGATTGTTGAAATTTGCAACTGACTTATAGAATTCTGTTATCCTCCCAATCATTCAGATATCTCCTTAGATATAGATTCCATCCTTGTCAGCATCATGGCAACTGTGGCTTGTGACTTCTTGTTGCTGGCTTAGAGTGTATATCTCCGGATGTTCTTTAATTGTTAAAAACCCTGCCCACTTGTCATGCCAAAAAGAGTTTTTTTGCCCATTTCCTATCCTCACCTTAGTTCTGATCTGCATCTTTGACCAAAGATTCCTAATTGCTCTCCAGACTGAACATCCATAGGGTGTTATGACATTCTTAGTCATCCAATTATCTTCCATACCATACTTTGCAAGAATGGTTTCTTTCCACAACATTCCTTCTTCAGTAGCAAATTTCCACAACCATTTCATCATCAGGCTTTGATTTTGCTTTTTCATATTCCTGATACTTAGACTTCCTGCTTTCTTGTTCACTAACAACTCCTCCCACTTAACTAGGTGATACTTCTTCTTATCTTCATTCCCGTGCTATATAAAATTCCTTCTCAGGACATCTATTTTCTTGCTGACACTACCAGGCATTGGAAAATGGACATCAAGTAGGAAGGCAATGTGTCTAATACACTGTTTACTAGGGTTAGTCTCCCTCCCCTGGAGAGGTGTCGACTCTTCCAATTTATAAGGCTCTTTGTACATTTTTCCACAACCCCGCTCAAAATTGTTGCGGACTTACTTTTAGCTCCCAAAGGCATGCCAAGGTATGTGGTTGGAAGTTCCCCTACTCTTCCTCCTAATTTACTTGCTAGAGCATCTATCTCACTGACTTGATAGGATATATAAAACTCTTCCCTTAGTTTATATGTAACCCAGATGCTGCTTCAAAAATTATGAAGATGACCCTTAGTATCAGAACTTGTTCCTCATTTGTTTCACAAAATACTAAGGTGTCATCTGCATACTGTAAGTGTGTTACTTCTGAACTGTTTGTCTCCCTCAACTGGAAACCTCTAATCCACCTTTTCCCTCTTGCTTTATTCAGTAGATTCTCATGCTCTCCATTGCCATTATGAACAAAAACGGAAACAAGGGATCACCCTGTCTCAAACCTCTCTGGGATGAAAAGAATCCATTCGGTTCCCAGTTAATTAGCACTGAGAATCTAACTGTGCTAATGCAGTGCTCTATCCACTTGATCCACCTAAATGCAAACCTCATCTTCTCCATTAGCTTTAGGAGAAAATTCCAATTCAAGTGGTCAAATGCCTTCTGAATGTCCACTTTGCACATAATTCCTGGTTTCTTGCTGTTCTGTCTGGAAGCTACACACTCATTTGCTATTAAGATTACATAATATAATGAATCAGTATATCTTACCATTTCTTATCATTGATAAAAATAACTCTTTATTTTTACATTAATGTAAATACAAATATAAATGAATGTTAGGAATCACCAGCTTCAAATCCTGAACCGCCCCTGGTTGAAAAGGGTAAATACTAACACATGCATGCATACATGGGACAAATTGACTGAAAGATGGAAGAGAGAAACAAAGAGTACATACTTGAGAAGCAGCTCTTTTAAAATCACTTCTAGTCAAAAGACCATTCACTTGCCCGAAACAGAAAAGTGCCAACGAAAACGGTTGCAATTTCTTCCGTAGCTCAGCAAAACTTTTGAATTCCTCAAATGAAATACGAATATGACTTAGTTGTGGCTCATTATCTAAATCATCAACTCGAGCAAGCAACTTGTGTAAATACTTTAAATCAGCAGAAGCAACCATGGACAGGGCAAAATCCTTTGCGGAAATAGTCCCCCGAAACTTGTAATCATAGTGGACAAACTCCAATTTTAGTATCTGTGAAGCACATACATGACAGCAGCATAGAATTAACAAATCAAGATCACATCTGAGAGGGGGAAGGGAGCATCACTTCCATTAGTTCATTGATGACGGCATATCATAATTGTTAACATTCCTAGCTAGTGGGGGGTCAAGTTTAGAACATGCCGCATATATTCTAAAGGCTGACTAAACACAAAGGCTATGTAAGATGATCCCCTACTTTTCACCACCTAAGGTACCAGCCAAACATATCCCGCATATATTCTAATACACATCTCCCAAGCAAGACAAGTCGCCAGATGATAGTCATGCAGAAAAAAACAATGTAATAAATACTTATCTACTGTAAGTAATAAAATGAAGAGACATAATAAATCCTGAAAACAGGTGCCTTCTTAAGTCTGGCAAAAATGAGTCACTTTCTCTTCTCGGAGATATAGGACTGATGAGTAACGATTTGGGTGTGAATATGATAAATGCAATTGGGTTTCCTTCAAAAAATAATATTGGAGGGCGATACAATATAACAACACAAGTGCAAATAATTAAAAACCAATGCACATGAAATATATGAACTGAATAATGGCAAAAATGTCAAACGATTCTTGTTTTCTGTTTTCTTATTTTGCATTACAGTTTTTTCTTGAAAATATTTGATGATTAGAGTTGACATACTTCTTCATGTAGATCTCTCAAGAATTGAACAAATGTATCATACTGGAGGCGTTTCTTCCCATCTTCACCAAAGAAGTCTTGTAATAGGCCTCCACTGTCTATATGACCACCTAGATTATGCCCTCCTCGATGTCCATCACTGTGATGAGCACCTTGCCTGTTGTGAGCTCGCATCAAAGTCATTACTTTCTTGAATTCATCAATGTCTATCTCTCTGTCACATTATAAGCACTAACTCAGTAAGCCAGACAAAGTTTGGTCTTTGAAAGTCTGACAGAAACAGTGACAGTATGAAAAACACGACAGCATGAATAAGAAACATATAATTTTTCAACCTGAGTTTCTGGCAGTCATCTTCAAATCTCCCCAAATAAATAAGTCAGTAGTCTTTCAATCATGCAAATTAGTTGGAAAAGGCCATCTCTATAAACAATTGACATAATCTTAACAGAGTAAGAGCTAAGTCCAAGCGTTAAGTTGCCATTATAGAAGCCATACAGCTCAACGATTCCATACTTAAATCACCATAATATCCAATCAGAAAAAATCCATAATATAATCATGAAAGTGATGTATCTACTTTTCTTCACAATTCTGAACATGAATTAGTTAGAGTCGAGAAGGAAAATCAAATGATAATCATCACACTTCAATTACAGAACAGAAAACATAAATTTTCCAAGTCTGGCAACTACATAAAATAGTATACAGAACTGGAAACTGCTCTCTCATCTTCTGCAGCTCAGTGCACAAGCACATATAAGAAGGTACCTGCCATATCCTTGTATGCATTCAACAATTGACATGAGATCCCTCATATGCTAGTTCTTACATTCCTATTGTACAAGAAGGGACCAACAATTTTATTCATATCCCTACTTCACAAACAGCAAAATTTAAAAGTAAAAAATAGATTCCTACCCATTACAGTCGAGGTCAAACATCTTGAATGCCACTGAAAAACTTGATTCAGGGATACTCAGCAGGGTGACAAAGAAAATATACCTGTACAAAATGCAATAAATTAAAGACTTCTACAGTCAACATACGTGTAACTAATAACTCAGGCTGAATGATTCTAAATTTAAATGTGATACAGAGGAAATTCAGGAGAAACAGAGAAACAAGACAAGGGAGGTGATCACTTAATTATGGAAATATGATAGTTAAATAGAGAGACTGCATTGAGACTTGGGACTCACTCTTTAAAAGAGATGTGGCCATCATTATTTGTGTCAAAAAGCATAAAAAATTTTGATGGGGCACATCGCAATTCACCCGGATTTCTTTCACCTCTGAGATATCCATCTCTCACGAGGTGTGATTCAGATGGAGGGAACACCGGAACAACTGCTCTCATTAGATCTGCTGGTGTCATAAATATTTCTCCATCATGGGCTTCAAAAGATGCAAAGTACTCAAACACCTTCGAAGAAACAACACAATATTAAAACAAATTTTAACTATGGACCCTCATGTAAATCACACACTTGATAGAACAAGTTATAATAGAGAGATTAAATTTGAGATCATTACGGTACACCACAATCAATATCCCAACCTAGCATTGGAAAAGGAAGGATATTGTCAGCAATCGGATCGCCAAGTAGGTTAGAGAAGTTCAAAAAAGCCTCTAGGACACACTGTCAAATTCTTGATGCAACAAACATGTCAAGCAAAGGGTAGACCTAAAATACCATGAAAGGGAAGTGTTGGTGAAAATATAATAACTGAAAAAAATAAATTAAGATAAAAAGTCTTCAAGTTGAGACACAAATATCTCACTCTCATTATGGAGATTCAAACTCTCTGCAGCAAAATCTTCACTGCTCTAGTAATAATCCTCTTGACTTAACCCCTCCGGGATATAATAAGCTGATGATAACTTTGTATGACTCGAATAAACTCTAGACAAGTTGTTGAGTTCAAATCTCCACCAAAATAGACACCTTCCTTAACAAAATAAAACTCTCTTTTTTATCACAACATCACTTTTGCATGCACTTCAAATATTTTCAATATACCATTACAAGGTAGAATGACATTTATAGGTGTGATTCGTGAAACCTTCCTTAGAATAATTTTGGAGTTAGTGCCATAGTAAAATTGATGAATAGGGAGAACATGGGTTGGTGGATTACTTATACATCGTTTGGTAGGGTGAATAAGAATGACACTGAATAAGGTATATTAGTAGTCTTTGAATTAGTTATGCTGGGATAAGTAATGCTGGATCAGTTATGCAAGAATTAGTTATGTGAGGATTAGTTGTGCTGACATAATTTTTTATCGACTATTTGGTTTGTGACATTAAATGAATAAGGTGCATTAATAGGCATAGTACTGAATAAGGTGTATTAGAATTGGAATAGTACCCAACATTGTTCATCTCATGGTTTACATAAAATAGTATTTGAATAGAGTGTATAACTAATACATGTATTTGCTATTCCAGACTTAAATTTGCAAGCAAACTGTTAGGGATGTTTAGTAGTGAATGTGATTGAATTCCTACATGCAGATTTTTAATCACCTTAATAGGTATAGCTCTTGATGCTCGTTAGTCACACAAACTATTTGTTTGTATGCATATGTGTCGTTATGTCATAGACATGATATTGGTTAGGGTCTATCCCACCATGAGCAAAGAAGGAGATGTTTTGGATTTTCAATATGGGTCGTGGGTCGCTCTACGTGGGCAAACGACCCCAATGTAAGAGAGAAAATTAAAAAACAACTTCACAGAGAGAAGGTATTGGGAAGTAACCAACCAGAAACGTGTATTGATCAGTTTTTGCAACAGAAGAGTCTCTCCTCCTTTACATAAAGATGATCTTTCATTCTTCAATGGTGTGTGGAAAAAATTCTTTTGGTTGTACTCCAAACACACACAAAATATTAGAAGGGACATCAGTTCAAGAACAGAACTCTGCATCCAAGAGAGGTGAAGTCGGCTTGGGGCAATTTCTCGACACAAGTTGTGCAAAACTTATGTTGTTGTTAACAAGTACACAATTGATATTCTTGTTACTGTACAAATCCTACAGCATTGAACCTTGTGGTGTAATTTAAGCTGTCAAATTGGAAATATTCATACCAAAGTTGTATATGTAGAGTGTAGATACTACAATTTGATCATCACAAGCAGAATAATAGAAGAAGATCAAGTTGGATAGGATGACATGAACTTATTTGGTCAGTAGTTCTAATAGATAAAACTCTGCTGTCATTAACTCCAGACATCAAGAAAACTAGTCTATCTATTGATGATGATAAAACATTTTTAAAAATTATGATACCAACAACATATCTATTGTAAAAATTCAGTACAGCTTCCGAATTTATTATTTTTTAAATCTACTAATCAATTAATTAGTTATAGAACAAAGTAAGTGAAAGCATACCTTTTCAGGAGGACTTCGCATCCTAATACGCTTTTCATAATTAAAGAATACTTTTCTTCTGTAAGCATCTGCATATACAAGTTAACCCTAATTATACTCAAGCCCACAACTGAAAGAAATAGAGAAGATTTTATTGAAATGAATTACCTCCAAAGAGATAGCTTGGTCGAGATTGTGATGTGTGGGAAAAAGAGAAAGATGGGTAATTTGGTGAAGAATAGTTATAGGAGTAATATGCGAAAGCTAAAGTGGAACTGGTAATGATTCCACCAATCCATTTGAGGAAAGATATTGAACTACTTTTTGGATCCTGCTGACCATCAGTTCTACTTAAATGGCTAAAATGGCGGAGTTGGGTTGTGATCGATGGTGTACATCGCCGGAGATCCGACCAAGATGGCATACTTTACTTCAAAACCAGACAACCTGATCGGTTCACTCATACTATGAACTATGCTGAGAAAATTAAATGAAAGGGGTAACTCTTCGTTTGGTTTTTGGTGACACATTCATCAAAAATTGGTCAAATCATTTTTAGAATTTAACTAACGGAAAAGGGTCTAACCTTTAAGAAAATGGTATAAATTACCCTTCATCCACCTATTGGCTCTAAAATATCGTTCCTTATTGGTTCAAAATACCCTTGTGATTCACCTTTTGGTTCAAAATTGACCACTTATTTAACGGTTTTATATTTAAACTATTTAAATATTTTTTAAAATATGTGGTGCTCAACTATTTGATATAATTTAACTTATAAAAATAATTTATAAATCAATCTACTACCCACCCATTACTAATTAAATTCCTCTAAATTAATAAACCTGTCATATTATTAATGCAAGCTACTGCCAATTGAGTGTTTTTAAAAATTATAGAAGTAAATTATCATACATTCAAGTTACTAAATAAAAATCACCGATAAACTTAAAAGTCTGACTATGTTCATCATAATTATTCTTACGTCTCAATTATGTGATGTTACTTCGGTAATTTTTTTTCAAAATAATATATTAACAGTTTTAAAACAAATCATAAATATTTATAAAATTATATTTAAAAAAAGAGCATGAATTAATTCCGGATGTATTACTTCTTTACCTTTAATCATAAATTTCTAATTCAATTTTGAAAGAAAGTGTCCTCCTAAATAAGCGGCTCAACCTAAATTTATTTGGGGCTTCGATTTTGGCTTGAATAATTATGGATGTCATTTTCAGGAATCTATAATTTCATCGTGTTTTAGTAGTGTTTATGACGATTTTGATATTATAATTGAATTATAAATTGGGTGATGTTTAGTTAGTAATGAGTGGGTAGTGGGTTGGTTTATAAATTATATTAATAAATTAAAATTATAACCAATAGTTGAACGTCAAGTATTTTTTAAAATATTTAAAGAGTTTAATTTTAAAACAATTAAAAAAGTGGTCAATTTTGAACCCAAAGGTGGATGACAAGGGTATTTTGGAGCCAATAGGTGGATGAAAAGGGTATTTTGGAGCCGAAAGGTGGATGAAGGGTAATTTTGTACCATTTTCAATACTTCAAGGGTATTTTAGGCCCTTTTCCGTTTAACTAAATTTGAGATCAAATTAACATTTTTTAATTTTTTATTGTCATAAAATCAAGCTATAAGAATATAATCATAAAGAAAAGAAGACAGAAGTAGATAGAACAACAGGAATTTTCTTTTTATTCAAATATATATCAAATGGTGAGGGATATCTCTGTTTATAGTGTTGAGATATTACTCTCAAAAGTCATTTAACTAGTAGATACATAGTTATCTATATTGTTATCCAAAAGGGTTCATATCATCTAGGGAATACACATACATGAATTTAGTAGTTCATGAATAAATCAAATGGTCATCCACTATTCAATGGATTTATAACACTCCCCTTGGATGTCCATAGATAATGTGCCTCGTTAAAACCTTTACTAGAAAAAATCCAGTGGGAAAAAAATTCTAGTGAAGGAAAAAGAATACACATATCTTTTGATACGCATTATTTGTTGCCTTATTAAAAATCTTTCCAGGAAAACCTAGTGGGAAAAAACCTCGGTCAAGGGAAAAAGAGTGCAACGCATATTATACTCCCCTGATTAAAACATCACTTAATTTCTTGTGATGATGTCTCTAATCTTTGTACATTGTGGTTGATATATTCTTTTTCAAAGAAAAACCACACATTTCCTGAATATGGTGTGTCATTTATCTCAACCAGACGCACTTTCGACTTGCTTCATGGAGGACTTTTATTTTTGCATAGCAACATTTACTTCATTGATCGTCAGGATATTATTGTGCCTCCAAATGCAAACACATAGAGTGCTTGAGATAGAGCTTTATGTGGATTAGATAAATATTCAGCATCTGGTAACCAATCAATTTTGTCTTGAATTCCTCAAAATAGAATAAATCCATAACTATGGTCATTCAGGGATATTCAATCATGTGCTCAACACCATTTCAATGTCCTTTTATCGGGGAGAAACTGAAGCAATATTGTTAGTAAGATGCACTAGTGTCCTGATTGCACCAAGATATGGAGTTTCATCACCAAGAAACTCTTCATCTTTCTTTTGAGATCAAACTGAATCATCATTTATTTCAAGCGATCTCATAATCATTGGGGTACTCAATGAATATGATTTATCCATATAAAACGCATCAAAACATATCTGTCAAATTATCAATCAGTAGGTTAAGACAAAATTCTGTCTTACCAAGACCTTTTCGTAAAATACAAGGACAATTAGGGTCATTCTTTTGTACCATTTTTCTCCTTGACTATTTCAATCCATATAAGAATTCTTAAAGCTTTATTGAAAAAGTTTCTTTCAAACTCTTATATGCTTCAGACACCTCGATTGTTTCAAGGATTTTCATATAACCTTCGTTGTCTAGCTAGACATTGCAATTATTCGTTACATGCATTCAAGTTTTTCGTATGTTGCCAGATCAAAACAAACATCATTGCATTCACCATACGAGAAAAAAATGTCAGGATTTTTTGCGACAAATCTTTATGCCCCAAGGCACAAACAGTATTTGATATCTTACGATTATACAATCGCATAATAATTTATTTATACCCCACTAACATTATACCTTGATTTATGGACTATCTGTCCAAAACGTCACTTTTGTAAGTGAAACAATATACTTGAATCATGCATTTTACTTGGCCAACCTTTTATCTGTCCACACTATATAACAGATTTGAATTCAAAATCTTCTTCACAATTTATATAATTGAGCGCTACTTCATATCAAAGATACCGTCGACGGTTATTTGATATTGATTCCAATATGACATAACTTATCGAGATCTCTTCATTTTTCATTATTTTTCAAGTACCTTAACCTTTTCCGAGATTTTATGAAGTGTTATGTCAATGTGCTATTTTATAGCACTTGCCTCGTTATCATGACCATATTGATCATTTGCTCGTTCCTTCTTCAAGGAATTTTATATTTGGAACCGATTGGTCTATTACGCTTCTGACGTATCATAGACTCTGTCCTTCAAGGACTTTAGGTTGGAGCATTTGCAACTGAATTATATCATAGGGTCAGTGCATTCATCTGGCAATTGATTTACAACATTATGCAAATGAATTATCCCTTGAACTTTAAGTTCACATATATATTTAACGAGAATCTAGATAATTCATAATTAAGCTCACACATAATTTTCAGCTAACAAAATCATCTCTCCCCCTAATGTTAGAAAATCTAACATTCATCCTGTTGACACCCAGTTTTGACCTTCCCCGATACTAGTTAATTAACGAGCTTCTTAATCTTAAACGTTTTAAAATAATTGATTTCATTAAGGCTTAAAAAGGTTTTTTTAAGTTATTCCCAAATAAATCTTATCGCATTCATAATTCTTAGGTATTACGTACGATTTACATAATAATGTATATGGCTATTGTATGATATGTTTATTCGAAACCATCTTTAAAGATTTTATTTTGTTTAAATATTTTATTTATTAATTTAGTTATATAATGATTTATATTTTTAATCAATTTTTTTATGACTGTGTAGATTATTTTATTTTGTTAAAATTAAAAAATTTGTTAATTAATTATATTAATTTGTCTTTAAATTTTAATCACTTTAGCCAATATTTTGGCTAGATGGGCTTTTAGATAAACTTGGACCCTTTATTTTTCAGCAGCCCATCCCAATTTTATTTTATTTTTAGTAATTTTCAGCCCACTCTAAATAAACTCCCAAGCCCAACCTTTGTTTCCTCCCTCTTTCTCTTTAACCAAATTCTGAAAGTTAATTTAATTCCCAGCCCACTTCAATCCAAAACTCATTCCCTTGTCCAACCCACTAAATTTTACCCCGTTTCCACTTAGGACCCGACCCAAATATTTTTCCTCTTCACGCGCAAAAACTCCAGGCAGTGTGAATAACAGCACACTGTTCTTCCTCTTCACGCGCAAAGGAAACCAAATTTGATCGAGCTCACTCGCGAGAACGCCCAGAATCGCGTGACCGAACAACCTTTGTCGTCTTCTCCCAACGCCCCTATCTTCGTACAATCACAGCAGTAAGGGCAGTGTTGTTTTTGTCCTTACAGCAGCGTCAACGGGCTCCCGCCTTGCGACCTCAAGATCGAGCCACGTAGCTCCAAGGACGATGGAGTCGATCCCATCCCTCCACCTCACCCCCCCCCCAATCCGTTAGGAATTTGGAATCGCTGGGGGATATTCTTTTAGGGATAGAATTCAAATCTGATGGGCCTGAATTTTTGGAGCCCTTTATCCCTCTTCTTTTGAACCCTAATTTGGGGGTATTTATAGGTTTCTTTGGTTGTTGATGGGGAGGATTTTTTTTTGAAGAAAGGGGTTTCCGTTTTCTCATAAAGGTTTTAAGGAAGGAAATAGGTGCATGCCATATAGAAACACAGGATAATTGAAAGAAATCGAAAGATATTTTCATTTTTTCATTATAGTGCGTTCGAACTTTGGTATTTCAATTGAAACGTCTTGGCTACTGTTCGTGTTTGTCCTTGGTGTGAAAGCTCGTCCTTGTCTAGCTCGCCTGTCCCTGTTTTGCTGCTCCGAAGAAGGTAATCTTCCTCCATAATGCTCTCTTCGTCTCTTTCTATTTGAACATGATGTTTCGATAGTGAAGTCACTACTCTGATTGTTACGTTGCTATTAATCGATTTTAGTGATGATGGATTGTATATGCGATGCATGTATATCTAAATGATCCATCTAGATCAGCATTGATGTCGTTTTGCTTTTTTTTTGGCTTTAGTATATTTGATTCCGTGTTTTATTATCCTAGCCTATATCGTCTTCCCTGATTATGAAATTTATCACACGCTTGTTTTCATGATATACTTTACTTGCATCGAGGATCCATCTGGAATAGCCTCTCTACCTTTACAAGGTAGGGATAAGGCTGAGACTCGAATTGTG